CTCGATAACATCGAAGTCATCGCCCACCCTGTGCCCAAACGGCAACTGGCCAAATTGCGCGCCGATGCCAGCGAGGGTGGCCCCGTCGTTGCGCTCGACCCGCCGCCGGACTGGCGGCTGCAGGACAGCGCCGAGGCGCTTCGAGCATGCCCGCTCCAGGCGGAGAAGTGGCGCGATGACCTTGCCACCCCGGCCAGACTTACCGCGGTGCCGGCCCTGCCGTCCGACGACGGCCCGGCGTCGTTGGCAGCGCCCGCGACCGAGCCTACCGCGCCGACGCGGTCGACGGCAGCGTTGTCGCGGACGTGGATTTTGGACAGTGGCTCTGGTCGCCGCGCCCAGGGCGAGGCCGACCTCGCGCGCCGCGAGACCGCCGACATTTATGTAGAGCGCGAGCATGCAGTGGAAACAACCAGCAGTGACATAATCGCCAACGAGCACGTCCAACTGCAGCTCCCGCGCAGTGGATCATCCAGCTCCGCCCTTGCGACGGGCGATTGCCCATCGGTGCTGTCAGTGGGACAACTGGTGCAATGCGGCGGCTTTCGTCAACTGTGGGGCCTGCAACTGGGCTACTTGCTGCAGGGCCCACAGGGGCAAAGGTGCATGGTTGCCGTGCGCAACCGCTTCCCAGAGCTCAGCTTCAACGACCTCGAGCGGATGCCGCTTGGATTTTGCAAGATTTATTGGGGCCATCGCTCATTTTCTCCGCCGAAGCCTCAGAGGCCGAGAAGACAGCGGAGACCGCTGATGCTTCCGGGCCTATCGCTGCTGTTGCTTGCCCTTGTTCTCCATCTCTCGGTCTCGCCATCCGTTTGCGTGCTTGTATTGTTATAGATCTCTCTCGCCATGGCTCATGGGGCTCTAATCATCCGGGACTCATTGCATTGCGACTGTTGTGGGTCGATTCGATTGCGGCCGATGTGTCGCTGCCGGGGTCTGTTCAGTCAGCGCTCTCGTTGTGGCAGGGCCGGCCAGGCGACGGCCCCGCGCGTGCGCGGCAACGTGGCGCATCTATCTCCAGGGCTGACGCCAATCGTCTTCCGCGCCCATCTGCAGTGATCGATGCCGGAAGATCCTTTTGTGTCTCCGGGGCCCAATCCTGACCCGGGAAGCACCGCTTCCGCAGTCGCTCCCGCCCCGGGCCAGATCTTTGTTGCCCCCCGCGCGGGCCTCGATGTTCTCCTCCAGGATGACGAGAGGGCAGCGAAGGAGACGGCCCTCGTTGAGCAGACCAAGCAGATCTTGGCCGAGCGTCCTGGCGCTGCCTCAGCGCGCCGATCTCGCGGAGGCACTGCGATGGGCGATCTTCCCGATCAGGAGATCGATGAGGGATGCGAGTCTCTTTTCGCCGATCTGGCCGCCGATGGCGCTCGCGCGATCCCCGATCAGGCCCCCCGTGACCTGTGTCGTGGGTTGAGCGCCGGTGGAAACACCCGCGAGCGGATTGAGACGCTGGCGCAGGCAGGGGCGCCCGAATTTCGGACGCATAAGCGGCGTTGCCAGAGATGCTTCCGCTGTCTCTTTGCCAACTTTGATGGGCGCATCTGCAAGATGCGCGCGGGCGCTCTCCAGATCGGCAAAACGGGTCAGGACCGCGTGTCTTCAGCGAGCGCAGCTCAGAGCGAGACGTCGCACTGCTGCGACCCCTGAGGGGGGGGTCAGCCATCGGCCAGGGGATTGATCCTGTCGCCGATCCCCCTTCTACCCCGCCGCCCGCGCCCCTGCCGCCGATGGGCCTGCCGTGGGCGCGGCCTCCTCTTCCAGCGCGGCGTCCTCCGGCGGCCCTGCTCCCGGCGACGCGGACTGGGGTGGCGGGGCAGCAGCAGCTGCCGCGCCGATCGCGGTGGGGGCGCGGAGGCTTAATGCGCCGCCGCGCCCGCCGCGAGGCTCGCAGCACATGGCCCGCGCGCGTGCTCGGAGCGGCGCCCGCAGGGCGCTCCCGGAGGCGCGGTGGCGTTGCAACCTCGGCACTGCCGCGACAACGCGCGCCGCTTTGGTCGTGCTATCTAAACAACTGGATCTAGATCGCTGAGAGCGAATGTGTAGATATTTGGATTGATAATTTCGCTACTCGTAGATTCGGGCAATGTGGCAACCGTAACAGGCGCGCTTAGGATCGTGTATGCCATGATCAGACGAGGTTTCGTATATCAACAAGTTCGCTGATGCAGAACTTGGGCTGACTTTCCAGCCATTGCCGTCTGGATCTGTACATCTACATTATTTTGTCACACAAAGGAGCAGATTTCGTATATGGACTTTGATGGCATTATGAGCATGAACGCGCCCAGACAGGTCGCCCGCTACACCTTTTGTGCAAGCTTTGTTGGCATCGTGGGCATGCACGTGCCCAGGCAGGTTGCCCGCCACGAATATCCAATCGTATCATTGACATCAATTTCATGGGATGTCGGTTGCCTAGCGGAACAACATATGCAAATCATGATCCCGCCAACTTTTTTCAGTGATATTTTCCTCCTCGAGCGATGCTGGATACATTTCAAGTATTTCGGGTCGCTGTGTGCCAGCGTGATTGAACATTTTACGCTATCATCATATTGATTAGTTGTTCACGCAGTTTTGATCGGGCACGTAATATTGAATGTGTCCTTCGGGTTGCCCCGCCCCCGCATATCTCGAGATAATGATTTTAGGGCCTGGCCAGCCTTGTGAATGAGTCGTTGCGTTGAACTTCGATCACGCACATCTGCTTGAATTCATGTTTTGGGTTGCTTTGCGCCCGCGCATTTTGATCTACGTGAGATTGGAAGTGAATCTGCGCCTTGAGCGCGTGCCTGCTCGCGTGCCTTTGCGTGCCGGTGGAAACACCTGCGTCGTTGTATTTCAGCCGTGCGCTTGGCGCAGGATTTTTCTGTTTCTCTTGGTCTCCCAACCCCGTAGGTTGTGGTGTCTGGGGTTCGTCGCGGTGTGCCGCAGCATTTTTTGGGGGCGCCCCCTCGTCCTGGTAAGTCGGGGCGAGTCTCCTGAGAACCCTGTGCTGCGTGGTTGGTCTTTGTCTCGCTCTCCTAGCCGAGGGGGCCCCGTTTTTGGGGTCGCAGGGGATGGACGGGTGTTTTGAGTGGTCCTCACACCTCTGTTCCCGAGTCTCGCCTCTGTCTCCCGTGGGCCCGAGTCCCGCGTGGAACGGGCTGGATTCGGGACGTTGTGTGTGTGTGTGTGTGTGCAGACAGTTCATATCAGTTCTCTTTCATGTATCCTGCTATCCTCTCGGTTCAGGTATTGGACTTTGGACACTTTTCGCGCCCCTGCTTGCGCGGGCGCATGGGGGAAAAAGGCTCGTAATTGATTGGAGATCGTGTCTCCAGGCCCGAGTGCAGCGTCATTTGCAGATGATCGTGGCCTGAGGGCGTGAAGAATATTCAATTTACATGGGACCGTGGCCGCGGGGGGCACACACCTGGTGTAATTTGCAAAGAATCATGGCCTCGTGTGGCGCGAAGTTTATGCTATTGGGAAGAATCGTGGCTTTTTTGGCACGGATGTTGTGGAACTACAAGGGATCATGGCTCCGGGGGCGCGGATTATATTTTTTACAAGGGATCGTTTCCGCGGGGCCGCGAATCAGATGTAATATACAAGGGATGGCGGCCTCGTGGGCGCGAGCCCCTTGCACTTTACGAGGAATATGTCCCCGGGGACGCAGGCCTCATACATTTTTGACGTTTCCCACGGCCCCCTGAAAACACCAGGATGCCTTGGTAACCAGGGTGGTTTTCGCTCCCCCCCCCTCCCTCGCGGACAGGAGCAATTCAGAGTAACAGGCAAAACGTAAAACTATAGCATTGGAGACTGGCATTGGATATGTGATTGGGACCGAGGAATGCAGGACTGGTACCTACGTTGTTGAGGCCCGATCTTCGCAGCCTGGTGGCCCCGCAAGGGGCCAGCGGACCTGTCGACCCTCAGAGCCGAAAAACTATGTACCGCACCGCGTGGGGGCGGGGCCTGAACGGAGTCCGGGCATGCTGCGGTGCATGTGCACCGTTCTCACCTGATTTGGTGTTTTCCGATGGTGTTTCTTTGTTTCTTTGGCCAGTTCAAAGGATTGCCATTGCTTGCAGTCGGATCAGTGGGATCCCAGTGCATGCTGTCCATGCCTGTCAGCATAGGGTCTGTGGTAGCCGTGTGCTTTCCGCTCACTCCTGAGCGGTCGTATGCCAAACGGATGCATGTCGGCATAGTCGCCAAATTCTGCTCATATGAGGTGGATCGGAACCTATCTTCACTGCCCTGCACAGGCGTCGATTCGCATTGGAAGCCTGTGCGTGGAACCCATTGGTGGTTGTATTTATGATGGACGGGCGCCTCGTCTGTGATTGTTTACCTGCTCTTGATATATTGTTGCCACGCGCGCGCGCAGGAAAGCAATGTTTGGGATTTTCCCGCATAGTTCCATCAGCACCCGATCTGCCTCGCGATTATTGTCATCTGACTATGTCAGTTCGAGGTCGTTCGTTCCTCACCGTTGATCTTCAGGGCCTATGCCCGAGTAGCCCAGATATCTGGCAGGCCCCCATGCCTTGAAGCGCAGATAAACGCGAGCACATGCAGGACATGTGTCGTTTCTGCATTTGGCGTGCCAATGGATGGAGTGCAACTGTTTGCGCTGGTTAGATGGCCATGCTCTGAGGTTTATCGTCGAGGGATTGTGGCGCCTCGTATCTCGATGCGCCCTCGAACAGTACCCGTGTATTCCCGGATTTGGGGGGCCGATTGTGAGTTTCGACCAGCGTGAGAGTATGAGATGGCGGCGCGCAAGGAGGAGAAGGAGGAGGAGGAGGAGGAACTCAAAGAGAAGCAGGAGCAATACCAGCAGTAGTTGGAAGAGAAGGATGGCGATGTGAAAGATAAGGAGGATGATGTGGAGGATGAAGATGCGGAGTAGGAGCAAGATGAGTCAGGAATAGGCGGAGGAGAAGCACGCGGGAGCCGTCGCCAACAGCTTCAAAACAGAAGTCCGTCAGCCAGCGCGCCAGGTACGCGTGTGCTTTGGATGCCGATCCTGAGGCGGTCCTTCTTTTCTCCCTAAGTCAGTGTTGTCTGGAAAGAGTTACATGTTCGTTGTTGTCAGACGGTGGTGCAGCGCGTTTCGCCTCGCAGGGTTTTCTGATGCAAGTCGCGCCCTCCTGCATCCCCTGGCGATATCATCGTTGACACTGCTCTGCCTATCCATCTCGCGCACAATGCCTTGATTTCGTTGCCAGGCCGCTCTAATCATTTTGGCGCAGCCAGCTTCCGCTGAGCAGAAAACCTTGAAGCATCGCTGTTGCGTAGTGCTTGTACGTAGCGTCGGCCTGCGTATCGTGTTCAGCTTATGCATTGTCCCTGGCCCGCTTGCCGACGTGGTATTATCTCAACTTTGCCCGAGCGTAGTGTAGCAGGAGTGCAGAATATTCACGAGTAGGTTTTGCTTTAGGTTTCGTCGTAGAGTCTGTCTTACCCTTGGGACACGTTTGGCTCAAGGGAAAAGCATCTACTGCCCCTGCTGCTGCCACAGTTGGTAGCGGAGCCTGGTTCAGCGGGCGGCCATGGGTGGCGGCGGGCAGCCCTGAGGGAGGCTGGTTCGGCCGCGGCTCGCGAGCCCCCGCTGTCTCCAGGCTCGCGCCGACGGGGCGGCGCGGCACGCGGAGATGCCCGACGACGACGGCAGGAACGTGACCGCTTTACGGAGGAGCCAGGAGCCACGCCAGGGGCGGCGTCAGCTCCTACCGATCCTCCGGGGGCGGTGACCACGGTGACCCTCAGCAGCTGAGAGAGCTGGTGGCAGGGGTGGTCCGAGAGACTATGCAGGGCGCGGCGCCGACAGTCCCGGCCGCCCAGCCCACGACCACCGGCTCCGAGGGTCCAGATGAGCCCAAGGAGTGGTACCCGTGGCGGCACGACGGACAAGCAGCAGCAAACGACAAGCGGCCCGCCAAGGGTCTCGACGACAGTTGGAAAAACAACAGTTGGAAGGACGACTGTTGGAAGGACAAGAGCTGGAAAGACGATCCGGGCGATGCCGCCTGGAAGGCATACGAGTCGAGCTGCAAGCCGTGGCAGGGCTCCAGCAACGGCGGGGGCTCGTTCGGGAAGGGTGAGTACAGCGATCCCCCAGCATGGCCTGGCTGGGGCCACTACCGAGCCTGTCGCAAAACCCTCCGCCGATGGAACACCAACACGGACGTACCGACGTGAAGAAGATCCGAACAGTTTCTTCGTCTCTTTGGGTGGAACATCATTCAACGGCGTGTGCTGACCAGCGACAAGTGGATACAGGCCGTCCTGAACAAGATGGACCTCATGATCGGTGAACGCGAAGGAGATGACCTGAAGCGGAGTGGACGAAAGGTGCTGCGCGAGGCTCCACGTGAGCAGAAGGAGTCTCTCACCCAGTTTGTGGCCAGGCGCGAGGCGCACTTCCTCGAGGCTGAGGTCCATGATCTCACACTTTCTTCGAAGATCAAATGGTTTCTGCTCGAGGAAGGCTCTGGTTTGACCTCCCAGGGGATGCAGAAGCTTCGCACTCGGACGCTTGGTCGGCTAGACTTGGAAAGTGTGAGCTGGCCGCCCCGACAAATGGACGCGCCCCGCTCAGAGCGAATGCTTTCAGGATGAAGGCAGGCTTCGCTACTGGCAGGCGCCGAGGCTGAGGAACCCGGCCCCCGGTGCCGCGAGGGGCAGCTTTCCTTTCCTCTCTGACCCGGTTGGTCGGTCGGAGGTTGGTCTGGGGTCCGAGGCCGAGGGCGAGCTCGGCCTGGAGGGCGACGACGGCTCCGACGACGGCGAGGACGAAGCAGCGCCCCTTGCCGAGATCGAGAATCAGGACCTCGAGGAGGACCAGGTGGGGGAGTCCATGGCCATGTTCGAGTCTCGATCCAACGCCCGCATCTGGAAGAAGAACAAAGACATGAAACGAGCAGCTTGTCAGGATCGAGAGAATTTCGGGCGGCCGCGCTCCAGAGGGCCGCCTCCCCCCCCACCTCGGGGTCGAGGCGGCCGACCAGATCGAGGAGGGCGCGGGGGCGGCGACCGCTGTCGAGGAGGCGGAGGCCGCGGCGTGAGGAGACGGCCCAGACTCTCGAAAGAGCAGCTGATGAAGGTCACCATATGCGGGATCTGCAAGCAAAAGGGCCACTGGCACCGCGAGTGCCCGAAGAAGGACAATCCCAAGTTCAAGCAGGAGCAGCCGCAGCAGCGTGGTCAGCGGCGGACGGCGTCGGCATGCGCCCTCGTCGGCTGCGAGGTGGGGCCCAGCAAGCCCATCGCGGTCGACATGCTGGAGAATCTAAAGGCCACTGGCCAGGAAATCGCGAAGTGTAGCGAGGAGTCCCAGGTCTACCTTGCGGCAGCCGCCATTCATTCCATGGCGGGCCCAGGCGCCGGCAGCGACCTTGTCGGTCTCGCGGCCCTGAGCCGAGATTCGTGGCCCTCGAGTCCCCCGGCATGTGCTATGAGGCGATTCCGAAGCATGCTGAGGCCTCGCGCTGCACGTGGCGTGGGTGGAGCCGCCGAGGTGCTCGCTGCAGTTCTATTTCCGATTTATCTCGGAGCGCCCCTCGGCGTCGTTGAGACCGCAGTGCTTGCACAGGACGTCCCCCGCATTTAGAGTGTCAATCTTCTGGAGTTTCTCGAGTGCGTCGTCGATTTTACCGGGGATATCGTGAACCCGGGATTTCTGAAGACGGACATGTCTCTCGCTTGTCTCGAAGCAGGGCACCGCGTGGCAGGGATTGTGCAGTGGCGACCCATGCCGCTAGAGATCCCGGAGGATGCCCTCCGCAGGTGCCCGTTTCTTGACAGGAGTTCGTTCGTGCTAGTACCGCCCCCCGCCGGAGATGCTCGAGTCCGGGGAGGTGCGATGCGGCGTCCTCTCTTCCCCCTCTTCCTCATCCTGGCATCCGCCCTGGCCGAGACAGCGAGGGGGTTGGCGCGGTCGCGGAGGTCTCGGGCGGAGACGAGCAGGCGGCTCCTCCCAAGGTTCCGTTAGCTGGTACGTGGTGTTTACCGGGGTCCTCCTATCACGAGCTCAGGTGGCGCCCGGCAAACTGCGTCGGGTCTTAGGACCAGGCGGGAAAACTAAGGCGAATCACGGGATGCGGTGCCGGCGGCAGGGGGCGTGGGGGTCCGCGGCACTCCTGGCGTCGAGTCTCTCGGTGGCCACTTTTGGCTCGAGCCACCAGTCAGGCGATCGATTCCATGAGCGGTCGTTTCCATGCATTCGCGTCCGCTCTCGCAGCAGGCGCATTAGTCATGCGGAGTGCGAGGGTCGCTTTCCTCGTTTCGCTGGCGGCGATGGCCCGAGGGGCTCTGAGCAAGAAGGTGCCCGGTGCCTACGAGGCCACGCTGCAGGAGTTCGAGAGGCTGCGCCAGGAACAGGCGGCTCGTCCTTCAATGCCGACTATCACGGAGACAGGAACGACCATCGCGGCATCGGCAGAGCCCTTGGGCACAGCCTCAGTGGGGGCGAGATCGCCCAGCAGATGGCTGCGGCGGACAGCCTTGGGATGTTCGATCCAGCAGTCGAGGAGGCGATGGTGGCGATGCCGGGAGCTGCCGTGGCGGGAACCGAGGACATCCCAATGGCGGCAGCATCGCCGGCAATGAGCAGCTGGGCGACAGCGTCCAGCTCATGGGGGCCAGCCGCAGTTCGCATCGTGAAGCCCCCCCTCTCAAGAAGAAGCCCCCTCCCAAGCTGGGCCCGAGGAGCAGTCGACTATTGGGCCGGCCGCCCATTCCGATGATCATGGCGCCAGGCGGGGCAGTTCCAGCCGAGCCCCCATCCACCGCCAGCTCCACCGTAGGTGCTGAGCGACGTCGACCCAGACACGCTGTGCGGACATCCCCAGCGGCGCAGCCGTTGCTGCGGGAACCAGCGTGGCAGCGGGTCAAAGTGCACGCGTTGCGGCGCTCGCCTGACCTGGATGCCCCGAGCGGCGATGCCGGATGCGGGGCAGCCAGAGCGACCCGGGCAGACGGCGGCTTAAGCAGCGCGGACGGCGGCCGCCTCTGCTCGACGTGCCGTTGAGATCTTCCAGGAGGGCGACGGCTTCCAACAGGGAGCAGCAGCGCTCAACGCGGTCAACCAGCTCGGGGCACTCCTGCAGAGTCTGCAGTGGTAGCTGAGCAACATTCCCGAGGGGATCCGCGCCCTGGCGAACGTGCAGGAGGTCCTCGACGCCATGGCGGCGCATTCGATGTAGGCTCAGGCCGCGCCGAACCAGCCGGAGGAGGGCGTGCTCCAGATCCGCCAAGGCATGGTCAGGGTCCAGCGGGCCCCCTGCTCGCTGGAGGAGTTCGGGGAGAGCGTGGGCTCGTGCAGACGAGCGTGGGCAACGTCAACAACGACGTCAACCTCGTGCACCAGAGCGTCAACATGATGATTGGCATGATGATTCAGATGAGTGCGGCAGTGCAGGCGCTGGCGACCGCGGCCAGGGTGATGCCCGAGCCGCTGGGTGTGGCCAGCGGGGACTACGAGACCCAGGCGTTCACGCTGGGCCTTGCGCCTTCGGTCCATCAGCCGACGCGCCGGCAGAGCGACGGTGGCCCCGAGACGACCGCTGCGACTACGACCACGACGTCACCGGGAGGCTCCCCGTGGGAGCTCGTGTAGGGCAGCCCGCCTGCCCCTCCTCAGCGCTGGCGCGAGGGCACCGGGTCCACTGGCCGCCGGCGGCGGCCAGTCTCTGGAACAGCGACTCGCGCTCAGATGAAGAGCCGGAGAGAGCGAACACTCTTATTTTTGCATGCTTTCCTCCTCGTCCTCCTCCAGGCCTTGAGGCCTGTTATCCATCTGGGCCTGTCTGCTCTTCCTCGTTTCAGCGCCCCGGCGGGCTCTCTCCGAGGGCCCCCGAGGCCTTCTGGTATGACGGGGATGTTTATAGCGATGGTCACGAGATTTCATGCAGTAGGGTTGTCGCCGCCGCGGTGGAGCAGCAGGCTTTCCTAGCTCCCGGCAGAGGTGCAGCTGCGAGTGGGTGCCGGGTCCAGGGGGCCCGAAGGGGTCGTGCTAGGACAGCTTTCAT